ATACATAAAAATACGATTCAGCTGTGAATTTTTCTGCTGAAGAATGATTCAAAAGCAAAGTTCAGCGAAAATGGAAAACAGACGCGAGCTCGAGAACCAGCAACAAGACAGTGGGAAAGAGAAGAACACACCGTTTGTCATAAGAATACCATCTTACGAGGAGGTGTCCGAGAGCTCTCAACCCAAAACGACGTCGCAGTCCCTCTTCACTCCTTCCCCCTCCTTCTCTCAGGCCTTCAATTTCGTCAGGAACTCAGAGTTCTACGCAGCCCCGCCGCCAGCTCCACCGCCGTCGCAGCCATCTGAAAGAGTTTCGCCTTCACCTTCTCACACACCCCCTCCAAGGTCCGTGTTTGTGTGTGTGAATCTTTTTTGTGGGCTCAATTAGAGAGTTGTTCTCATATGGGTTTGTTAAGTTTTGTAGGCAAATTGAGCAATCGAAAGGCCCGTCTACTTCAATTTCTTCGTCTGGGGGGAATCGGAACGCCATCCTGGTTAGCCATAGACAGGTGAAGCATGCCGTATTTGGAAAATTATGTCTTGATTCATGTGGGTATTCTGTTAGGCGTTGCGAAAATGACTTAAATGTAAAGTAAAGAACACATTTTTAACATTACTTGCTCAGTTTAGTAGTCTAAGGTTATCGATTTTGAAGTGAGTTTTTGTCAGTTGTGTGACAAGTTAATGTGGAAAGTGAAGCCTAGCTGGACACAATTTTGTGTGTTGATGAGACATATGATTTGGCTTTATTCTGTTGCCAATGATTTTCAAGATTCTGAACTCGGTTAACTTACTCTTTCATGAAATATAATTTGAAAGTATATCATACCTTGTTTTGATCACTCTTTAGTTTGAAGTGCTACGGAGGTTTATAATCTTGATAGTTAAAGTGAACTTGTATGTTGTTTCTATTTGTCATTGCAGAAAGGGAACCCTTTACTGAAACATATAAGGAACGTGAGATGGGCGTTTGCTGATATTGTTTGTGACTACCTGTTGGGCCAGAGCTCCTGTGCTCTTTATTTGAGGTTTGATACTCTTATACGTTGATATCCGGGCAATTCTAGGTTATTTGTATGTTACTTCCACTGATTATAACGGAGTTAAGGGTCAGGGTTCAATACCGTCATTAATCCAACCCCACCCATGATTTGGTCTTAAAAAAGTGAAAAGTGAGGGAAAAAATGAAGTTCATGATACACGGCTAAAATAAGTTCTATAATTTCATACATTTTGACATTTCTTTACACTGTATTTGCAAAAACGTGACTCATGGAATGAACTTGTGAAATTATCAACATCATGAGATTGATTTTCAATTTTAATTTAATTTTCTCCAGTCTTCGTTATCATCTCCTACATCCAGATTACTTGTATTTTCGCATAAGGGAACTGCAGAAGAACTTCAAGCTTCGTGTTGTATTGTGCCATGTTGATGTGGTAAGCCTTTGAAGAAATTGTTTGACTTTTATGGCTTGATGTTTATCTGGTTCTCTAATTCTTTAGCTCTTTCTACCAGGAAGATGTCGTTAAGCCTTTACTTGAAGTCACAAAAACAGCTCTACTCCATGACTGCACTCTTTTATGTGGTTGGAGGTATCTTTTGTCTATTATTGGTGTATCCCAACTACTGTCTGAGCATTAACTCGTTAGAGTCGTGAATTATTTCTTTGCATGTTAGTTTTGTTTGCTGAAATTAAGTAAGAAGGTAGCATGGGAAAATGTCACGGGGGCCGAGTTATCCAAAGGAAAATTTTAACTCTCGATATATGAACCGCGATTGATTAAGAAAATGTGAGCATTGAAGATACCTTAATCTTGAATACTTAACACTTGGGGTGAAGGATGTTCGGGTAAATTTCTTGCAGGAAGTTTTTTATTTCTAATTTTAGATTTTAGGCCTTAGTTTTTTGTCAACCGTTTGATACCTTATGGTTTCATGTAGCTTACTTACTGGTTCTTGATTGTTTATATTAGCTTGGAAGAATGTGGTCGATACTTGGAGACTATTAAAGTTTATGAAAATAAGCCAGCTGATCTTATCCAGGGCCAGATGGATATGGACTACCTATCACGGGTGTGTTACTCATAAATTTATCAACTTAGTCTTACTACTCTCAAACTTGTTTCTCATTGAAGTGTACCTAAATCAATTGAAAAACTTTTATTTTACTGCAGTTGAATCATGCACTCACGGCAGTACGTCATGTTAACAAGACGGATGTTGTTACTCTTGGTTCTACATTTGGAGTAAAGCCTGCATTTTTTTTATTAGAGTTGGGTACTATTGTTATTCTGTACTAAATTTTATTTTTTACAATATTCCAGTCACTTTCTAATATTATGGATGCATCAATGGAGGATCTTGCTCGTTGCCCTGGCATTGGAGAAAGAAAGGTATTCTTCATTCTTTTAATTAAAGTTATATGGATTGTGAATTTCATTCTTATTCAGGCCATTCTGCAAATTTCCCACTCACACTTTCCTCCTATTATCGCTGTGTGAACCTTACTAGTTTAGTTCATATTACCGCTTTACTAGTAATTATATGGGAACTACACCTCAAATTGCACGGTGTTGCAGCACGGAGTAATTTTTTTCAATATGTAAGTGTATTGTAAAAAATAAAATTTATCGGGTCATTTTTCATTAACCCACCTAAGTTCTTTGGATGCATGGCAGGTAAAGCGCTTGTATGACACATTTCACGAGCCATTTAAACGTACAGTTCCAAATCCTGCACCTGCAGCTGGTGAAAACCCAATTGACGAGTCAGTTGCTGGACTTGCGCCGGAAAGTGAAAGAAATGAGGACGAAAAGGAAATTCCGGAAGGGAGCAAAAAGCAAAAGAAAAAGACTGAAGTAAACATAAAATCCGCCCTTTCAGCTGCCTTCGCTAAATACTCTGACCGGATTGGTCACAAGAGACGTGCACCTGTTCCGGATGAGAAAGGCGATGATTTTCAATGATAATAAGAGTCGATTAACGTTAAGATGTTTTAGGGAGGTTTTTTTATGTTTCAGGAGAGACAGTGTAACATGTAATAGCTATCATACTTGTATGTGAGTCTGTGTACTTGTGATAATATCCTTCTAGAGATCTTTCCTCATGGTAGGACTTAGGACTTTGATTTAATTCGTAATTCATTCTTGATCAGTCGAATGTGAAGACTTCAACCAGTGTTTAAGAAATTAATCGCTTGTGGTTTTAAGAAAAAAAAAAAAAAAAAAAAAAAACGAGTAAATTGTGATTTATCTTAGAACTCAGAAGCTAGCACGAGTTTTAAATTTTAAAGCCTGTGGCTGTCATTGTTATCTGTTCGGATCACTAAACTTTTATGCAGGATTTCACATGTGTTTCCCCTGCGCTCTCCTTTACAGGTAAAAAAAAAAATTGAAATGCTTGTTTATGTATGTAAATATTATCTAAGATGCCCTTATATGGCAGCTGATTATGAACCTATTTTTAGGATAGTCAACATGTTTGGTCCACGAATGTCGAAGCTGTGGGAATGATATCTCGAGCCAAGGCTTTGCTCGGCCATTGAAATGGATGACACGTACGCCAACATGGAAAGCTATAAGCTCAGGAGGTAAGGTTTTCTAGCTGCCATAAGCTGAGGTCTGACTTCTGAATCTGCATTTTGAAAGCATCATAAGAGAATCTATAGAGCTTCGATTTCATTGTCTGGCAAGTAATATTTCTTCTGGTAACATCTCTGAATTCTAATGTAGCGTCGAATTACAAGAACTATTAAGTTTAGCCTTCTTACATAAATGTAGTTATCTTTGTGGATGTATTCAATTATGATATACAAACTTTATCTTTAAATCATGCAAGTTGTAAAGTAGAAACACATATTAGAAATGCATTTGTAATATATAAAGATGGCTGCTTCTTTTTTTTTTT